GGGCCGGTCCCCGCACTAAAGCATTTTGTGCAGGACAGTGAGACTGAGGCTCGGTGCCCCCCTCTCTGCAGTGGGGCTCCGTGTGCTCTGCCATGCTGGGACTGCAGCCAGGGGGTCCTGGAGCCCCCAGCCATCTGGGCACAGGCCGCCTGCCGGCAGATGTTGCCCCTCTAAGCCCTGCTCTAATGGACCCCGATCCCGATCCCGATCCCGGCCCCGGCAGATTAGGCAGCACCGGGGGCCGGAGAGGGGGGCCCTAAGCTGCTTATGGGCAGCAGCCCCCAGGAGCCCCGTGGGCTCACACAGGGCAGCAGCAGCAGCCCCTCGGTGCAGGGGCAGTGCCCTCGGCAGTGCTTGCATCCCCTTAGCAATGCCTGGGTCCTGGGACCCCTTCCCCATGAGCCACATCCTGCACTGTATCCCCATCTCACTCCCAGCAGTACCCCAAACCCGGCTCCCCTGGGTACCCCTGTTCAGGGCAGGGGTCCACCTGGCTGGGTGGGCCACAATGGGGGTTCTGGGCACCCCTCATGCCTCCCTGCCATACCTTGGGGTGCAGCTGGAGTGGGGGTCCCACAGGTTGCACCGTGGCAGCCTGGCCCCGCTGTCCCTCGGCGTTGGAGCACAGTTGGGATGGGCACCCTAGGTGCCTGTGCCCCCAGTGTCAGAGTCTGGGTGGGATGGACACCCCGGATCCCAATGCTCCCGGTGCGGGGTTGGGGTGCCCCGGGGTGCTGGTGTGACCCCTGTCTCTTGGCAGCTGGGGCATGGCCGTCAATGTGTACTCGACATCGGTGACCAGCGAGAACCTGAGCCGCCATGACATGCTGGCCTGGGTCAACGACTCCCTGCAGCTCAACTACACCAAGATCGAGCAGCTTTGCTCAGGTGGGCTTGTGGGGCAATGTAGGGGACACGGGGGGTGTGGCCAGGGTGCCCCCAGCCCCCCTTGACCGCGGCGTGGGCCCGGCGCAGGGGCTGCGTATTGCCAGTTCATGGACATGCTGTTCCCCGGCTGCGTGCACCTGCGCAAGGTGAAGTTCCAGGCCAAGCTGGAGCACGAGTACATCCACAACTTCAAGGTGCTGCAGGCCGCCTTCAAGAAGATGGGAGTGGACAAAGTAGGTCCATGGGGACAGCAGGGGCTGCCCTGTGGGATTCTGTTTCTGCCGGGCTCCGTGCTGTTCTGTGCCGTGGTGTCCCCGCTGTTCTGGGGGCCGGCTGGGAGCGCTGCCCTGCCAGCCCCTCCGTGTCCCCCCAGATCATCGCGGTGGAGCGGCTGGTGAAGGGCAAGTTCCAGGACAATTTTGAGTTCATCCAGTGGTTCAAGAAATTCTTTGACGCCAACTACGATGGGAAGGAGTACAACCCGCTGCTGGCGCGGCAGGGCCAGGACGTCGCGCCCCCCCCTAACCCAGGTGATCACATCTACAACAAACCCAAGAAACCCATTGGCACTGCAGGTAATGTCCGGGGCCCCCCAGCGAGCGCTGCCCCCCGCCCTCTGCACCCCGTGACGTGCTGGTCATGGCCAGGCGTCCCCCTGACCCCTGCCTGCGCCCCGCTCTGCTGCCTGCCTGCCTGCCTGCGACCGGGGGGACTGGGCGGGTCTGCAGGGACACCGAGACTGCGGAGGAGCAGGGATCTTGGCTGCCTCCATCTGCCTGCTCAGCCTGGGCTGGGGGCGGTTTGTCACCCCAGCCCCCCTGGCTGCCACCCCCCCGTGCCGTGCCACCACCGTACAGCTCCCATGGGCACTGGGGGCTCCCCGTGCTGGCCCAGTGGGAACTGTCAAGGTCTGGGACCTCCTCAGATCCCATGCTGAACCCTAAACGAGCCACGAGCACCCTTGGAGGGCTGGGGGCAAGATTTGCCAGGGGAAACTGAGGCAGGGGGGAGGCTGGAGTCGGGAGAGCCTGTGGCTCTGCACAGGGTATCTGCCTGCCCTTGCTGCCCACTGCTGCCCCCACACAACGTAGGGGGGTCCCTGCTGGCAGCCCCCCCAGCCAGCATTAACCCGTTGGTCCCCGTGTGCTGTCAAGTCCCCCAGAGGACCTCCCCCACGGGCCCCAAGAACACCCCGAACCCAGCCCGCCTCGGCAACGTGCCCAGCGGCATCCTACGGAAAAACTCGCCCGCCGCCCGCAACGGCGGCACCGAGGCTGACGCGCAGATCCTGGAGCTCAACCAGCAGGTAGGGGCTCCCTGCCAGGGGACTGGGGGGCACCGCAGGGCTGGGGGCGACCGAAGGCTTCAGCCAGGTAGGGGGTCCCAGCCAGGGGGCTGGGGTGCACTGTGGGACTGGGGGGGCTGAAGGTTTCGGCCGTTTCCCTCTCCCACAGCTGATGGACCTGAAGCTGACAGTGGATGGGCTGGAGAAGGAGCGGGATTTCTACTTCAGCAAACTGCGGGACATTGAGCTCATCTGCCAGGAGCACGAGAACGAGAACAGCCCCATCATCACCGGCATCGTCAGCGTCCTCTATGCCACGGAGGTGAGGCCGGGCACCTCAGGGTGCCCCTGCAGCCCATGTCCCTGTCCTGCTCTCTGGACTTCCCTGGGAGAGGAGAGGAGAGGGACTCCCTTCTCCCCCAGTTGCTCTTGGCCTCGTTCACTCCGTGGGGTGCCAGGAGGGGGTTGGGCTTTGCCAAAGGCCTCCTGCCACGCCAGGTGGAGGTTGGCGTGCCCGCCCGTGCCACCCCTGTGCCAACGGCTGCCATCTTTCCCCCCAGGAGGGCTTCGCCCCACCAGAGGACGACGAGCTGGAGGAGCAGCCGCCAGAGGACCAGGACGAGTACTAGCCCCGGCCCGCG